AAACAGAAAAAGATTCCAGTGAGCCAACAGATAGCAGTGATTCCGTTAATTATAGTGAAAGTCCTCCTACAAAATAACCCTCCTCTTCTCCTCTCTTGTCTCCCTCACACCATCCATGATTCTTTTCAAAGGTAAAGCGCAGGTTAATTTGTTTTATGTATTTTTACTTTATATTTTGTATTTACTTTATATTTTGTATGAATATTTTTGAGTTGTGGATCGGATCATATGAGTTTCCATTATTTCTAATGGGAAAATTCGCTTTGATATACGAGTGCTTTGGATTACAGGCATGTTTCCGGAACGAATTATGCTCATAAACCGAGGTACCACTGCCGCAATGGAAACCATGGGCCTGTTTCACAAAGCAGGATTACTTGCTTAGCCAGATAACTTGGCAGATTTAAGGTAGTCTGGGCTAAATGTAAGTTGATGAAAATAAGGTCTATTTAGCCCAGACTACCTTAAATCTGGCAAGTTATCTGGCTAAGCAAGAAATCCTGCTTTGTGAAACAGACCCCATAGCTCCAAACCATAAGCACAGGCCACATGGGCAACCATAGCTTCAACCATAGGACAAAGGCAACAGGGGCAGTAATGTGTCCATAAACACAACCAGGGAGTTGGCTTGGCAATGAATTGCAAAAAGAATAAATGCATAAGTTACGTATATGTTACAAGTCCTTAGTACAGTACCATGGTGGTACAGTGGTTTACACTGTTGCCTTATAATGCTAAAGCTACTGGTTCGATCCCCACTTCTGGGTTGATTTTCAATGTCATTATTACTGTATAATATTTGATCTCCGTAAAATACTTTAAATCACATCCGTTTGAAATGTTCTGCACAAATAACCGTATGTTGTCTTTGCTATTTTAGTAGTAAACTTTCAAAGTAGACAGTGACTAAAAATATAAAGATATCTTTCTGTTCATATAATTTTAATGGATTTTTTTTCCAAGTACAGTCATTGCATTTCATGTTTCAAAAGCGTACGCTTTTATTTTACAGTAAAATACTGTTATAACGTACTTCAAGCGACCTGGCAAAACAGTCTGTTACATCCAGAGTTGCTGTTTGCCCAGAACACAACTACAGGACACCATTTACTCATGCCACACCTCAGCAGACACACTTGTGGTATAGATTATTATATTGAACATCTAGTAATCCAACTTTACCTGACCAGATGCGTGACTATATTAATATAACCCGACTACTCACGTATCTGCGCGCGCTGGATATCACCGGCACGCCACACGCCTTGTAGGCGGAACTGCATGTCCGTTATAGCCGAACAGAACTACAGCTAAAAGCGGCCCTGGGGACCAAATTGTTTTCCATTATAAGCGAAATTCCGTTATATGCGAGTCCGCTATATCCGATGCTTTTTCTGCATGTTCGTAAAGGACCAGCAGACCTCGTCCGTTATAGATGATATTCCGTTATAAACAAGTCCACTATAACTGGATTTTACTGTAATTATTTTGGAATTAATTGGAATGCTAAGACGTGATTTTATAGGCTTTATTATATTGATTATGTAGCAATCTCAGCTCTGTTCTCCATATTATGGAAGTATCACGCAGAGCTTTACTTCAGAAAAGATGGTTTTTATTCTCTGCTTTCTCGTCTTGCTTTTACTCACAGCACTGACTACAGGGTTCCATTTTTATATACGTATATACAAGACACATTCTCCCACTAACTCAAACAAAATCATGTCATTTTGGTACACCTTACAGATTAACAAAAAATCAATCAGATAATGTAAAATGTAATGTCAGATGAGGACATATAATTCAACAGATTACATGACATGAATAGTAAGATTGCGGAATTTCGTCCGACGGAACGATCTTTTGGGAATCTGTTCCCACACATTCCCACACGTTGGACGACCTTTGAGACAACACTAAACTAAGCGAGACAGTTAGCCTGTTCCAGACCAGCCTTGTTCGCAGGTCTAAATTACCATGGTAATTCAGCGGGGATTCATTTAAGACACGTTGATGGAACGGAACTCTCACTTAAGTAAGACTGACTTGTTTAAATAAGTCAGACTTTCCCTTAATCCTGCTTCATGGAATACCCCCCTGAAGTTCTAAGAGGAACTGTTTTTGTCTGTTGTGTAAGAGCCAGCGGGAAAGTGGACTTGTCATCTACAGGTCTTAAGATTATGACTGTGATTAAAGGTATGTGGGGTAATGTATTGTATTTTGGGTCATATTAAATATTTCAGATTTTATATTTTAATTCCAGCTGAAGCATTATGTAATCCATCTAATTAACTGTTACTTGATTAGGAACAAATAATATAGTATCATGCTATTACTTTTGTGTAAATTAACCACAAACTATGTTTTAGTTACATACTAATCTCATGTTAATTTGTCATTAATGAATCATTACGCATGTTTTCTCAAACAGTTGCTATATCTGCTAATTCTGTTAACCTTTGTAAACTACTGAATGAACTACTGAAGGAACAATTAATGAATAACACAAAAAGAAATACTGATCTCATGTTTGTTCATCATTAATGAATTGTGACATATTTTACCTCAAGTAGACTGTATTTGTTCATGATTTGTACTTTAGTAGTAACTAAGTTATTACTAAGTATTTGTGCCCCGTCTAGTATAGACCATTTTACTCATTTAACATTTAAACACATAAATAACTATGATACTGTTAAGGCCCCCAAGATTTCACAAAAATCAAGATATAACAAATTTACTGGAAACAGCAAGCAAAGCACCAGTATTTCATAAAAAGGAGTCCTGATTATGTAAATACCCATGTTGATTACAACAGAGGGACTGGAATTTCCCATTAGCCAACTCCTGTTTAAGTCTGACGTCATTTTTTTTTTGCCAGCAGAGGTGGAGCTAAGGAGCCCATTGATGGGAACGCTGCAAAAAAAGTGGCGCTTGAAAGGTCCAGCACCGTGAGAGAATATAGGTGGGGTACGCCTGCATGTAAACAGGTTCAGCCTCCGCAGCACAGGGTACTACATAGAAAGCTCAACTGCCTCCTAGAGCAAGACCCCTGACCCCTGGAGAC